TGCAGTGGTGAGAGCCCAGGTGAGGCTTGGAAGTCACCCCGGGTCCAGGTGTACCTAGCTTCAGGGGCACAGTACTGCCTACCTCACTGGCAGCTGTGAGGACATTGCCCATCACAGGGTTAGTGCAGCCCCTGGGAGCTGAACTTGGTCATTGGCAAGGGCGAGTGCTGGAAGGATTATGAGGGGAGGTCCACTTTTGCTTCTGGCACATTCCAGGCCCGTCTGGTTGGTAAACCAAGCAGGGCCTGGGGAGGAGGGTGCTCTGGGAGTCTAGCCGACCACTCGCTTCTGTCACCCACAGCTTTTCAGGAACACAGTAATCCAAAGCAAAGCATATTTTTATCCCGTAAGTTTAGAGCCGTGTAAAATCCTCCCATCCTCGGGCCAGGGAAGGCCCTCCCTCTGGAAGGTGCAGGAGCAGCCTGGTTTGTTTGGGCTGGATTAGGGCCAAGAACAAACTGCAAATAAGGACAATTTGGACCTTGGAAAAGGCTCCATTGTCCCTGGCGAGTTAATTTTACCAGCAGCTGAATTCAGGAGGCTCTGAAGCCGTAATCAGAAAATGCATCAGTTTCCCGTCAGGGAAGTTAATCAGCACACGTGCCAGAGGAGCCGCTGGGGAGAGAAACAGCTGCGGAGGCTAAATATATAGAGAAGGAGGCGAGAGAAGCACAGCGTCCCCAACCCACCTGGTGCTCCTCGCCCCACCTTGGGCCTACCTGCCACTTCCCTGTCCTGAGTCCAAAGGGTAAACTCGCCCCTCCGGGCCAGCACCTACCCGCACAGCAGCAGGCACACTGCATCGTCCCGTTAATTAATCGACACCATCCTGCCCGTTTTACAATGAGAAAACAGGTGGAGCGTCACCTTAGTAAGTGTTTGGAGCCAGGATGTGAACCTGTCTGTCAAAAGCCATTCTCTGAATTATCCTGTCCTCTGGATTAGCCTGTCTCCCTGAAATGCTGTCCATTCCAAAAACTGCAGTCCTTCCCACATTACAAACCAAAGCATTCTCACTCTACCCTTTCCATCAAAGCGTCTCTGGGTGACCAGAGCAGGGGCCCAGAGACCCACAATTGAATTTCTCGACACGGCAGCCCCAAGAACCGCTTGTAAATGGGGCTGTGGACGGGAGAAAGAGTGATCTTGTTAATAAGTTCTCAGCATCGTGGAGGCAGAGAAACCTGCCTGGGGGCTCCTGACCCTGCCAAATTGCCTCTTCAATCTTGGCCATATTTTAAGTCTAACTTAAAAATTCAATTATCAAAATTACTCATCCCGTCTCCCAAGAAACCCGGGACTGCCTCAGGGGCCAGACGTGTTTACCTCTGCCACAGATGGGGCCTTCCCAGCTCGCTGTGCTGGGCGCCAGTTGGGGTGGGCCTGGGTGGGTCCAGACCCAGGGATTTGCCCCAGCCCTCAGGGGCTCCTAATAGAACCTACCTCATTTCCTCATCTGCAAGATGTTGATGTGGAAAGAAAAAGACGGCTAACTGTGAGGCCCAGATATTGGCCAAATCACTGGGGTTTGCTTGTCCATTCATCTCAGTGAAGGCTCTGCCTCCAGCCAGCAGCTTACACTAAGGTCACCCCTGACACCTTCTCCCTCACCCTCCATATCCCATCCACAATCACGCCCACTCGCTCTGCTTTCACTCGCAAGGCCATTGCATCATTTTTCTCCATCACCGCCTTGGTCCAGGTGACCGCCATCTCTCACCTGGACCACTTGCAGCAATGGCTTTCCAGCGGGCCTCCCCACATTCACCCCTACCCTCTCCAATGTCCCCACAGCTAGAGTGATCCTTTAAGATGCAAAGTGGGTCATAGCTCCTTGATTTAAATTGTCGAATGCTTCTCATTGCACTCGGCATGACCTACAGGTGGCATGCTGAGTCCTGCCCCTCCCTCAGTTTCCTTCAGCTGCCTGCCTTCTCCGCTCCCCCTGCTTCAGCCTCAGAGGGCTTCTCTCTCTGGCCACAGGGCCTTTGCTCATGCTGCCCCTGCCTTGCATCTTCCCATTCACTTCCCTGGTGTCTCTCGCGTCTCTTGTTAGTTGGCTCCTGCTCAGGCCTCAGAGCCCACTCAGAGGAGCCTTCCCCATCAGGAGTCCGTATTACATACAGCATGATGTGCCCCTCACTGGCACTTGGCCTCTGTTGTGACTTTGGATTGTGTGAGTGTGGTTTTCTTTGGGCTATGCCTTCTCCCATCACTAGCTGGAAGGTACTAGCTGAGGTTCGTGAGGGCAAAGGCCTGGTGTGGTTTGCTTACCCCTCTAGCTCTAGTTCCAGCCATGGAGCACCAAATATATGCATTCACCAAACAGTCCTAGAGCTTTTCTCTCCTCCTCCTCCAAGCACTCAGACTGGTAGGGAGAACACAGGTAGTAATGCCAAGAGGGGAGACTTCCTTGTTCAGGGGTCCTCTGAGCTGGGCAGTCTTCGTAACATGGTCACTCTCAATCACGTGACAGTCCTGTGCGGGAGCTGCTGCTGTTTTCAGGTAAAGGACTGGGGCACAGAGTGAACTGCCTCAGATCACAGGGCCAGTGGTCGCAGAGTTGGATTCAGACAGAGGCCGCATGCTGCAGAGCCCAGGTCCCCACCGTGGCGCTGCGGGCGAGCCCGGGTCAGTATGGGGAGCGCCAAGGCTTGGGGTGGGTGGGCTGGGGCG